TTTATGCTAAAAAAGTGCATATAGCTGCTAATTGTATTTGTTGTTTGTTGATTTTCAAATATAAAACTTATTGAAATGTTTTCAGTGTGTGTATCAGTTCTTTTTGAACGTTTTCATCTAATTTGAACAAAACCGTGATAATATTGATAACCGTGATAACTTTGGTCACTATAATCGTGATATGAAATTTTCATACCGTTACATCCCTAGTAGTGCGTGGACTCCAGAGTGCGCATTTGAAGTGCGATTGTGTCACAGCGTCATGAACTAAGCTGTCCCAATTAGGAAGGGAACAAGATGGCGGGCTAAGCACACGTAAATTTCTCCGCTCTCCAGCAAATCTTGAGTTTTATGTTAGTGTGGCAAAGGCGGTCAAATTGAAAGCATTTACAAAACTAATATCTAACTACTAAATCGACTACGCCACCCAGAATACACTGGGAAATAACCTTATCAAAGGCACATAGGTTCGCTACCAAGACAGGGTGAGCATGGAGACGTGGACTGGACATATAAAGACAAGCACTTTATTGAAATACAAAAGTTAAAACTACACCATACATTAATTCTACACAAGGTCTCGATCACCAAAACACAATTCTAAATTATACATACAGATACACAAAAAAAAAAATAGAAAGTAAAGGAGGTGGCCAGCAGGAGTCCTCAGCCTTCCACCCAACTGGAAAATAAGAAATAAACACTTGTGAAAGCACAGCAAACTTGTTAAAAATCACAACAGTCCATGTACACACCAATACATTACAACTAAACTTGTTCGAAAAACAACTCACCTCTGTTGTCACATCGCACGCAGATTTGATAAGCCGCACGTCGGAGCTCGAACGCTACAAAAGACGATGGAACCGCAGAGTAATCGGAATGAAATAAACCGCAGGCAAAGATATCCGAAGAGAAGTCGTCTCACTGTTAGCCGAAATTGCTCCTCACCTGCAGCACAAACTTGAAGACACAAACGAAGGATAAATCCAGGCAGGTGATTATTCAGTTCTGCATGCGGAAACACAGAGACAAGTTCTGGCGCTCCACTGCTGCAGGGAAGAAAGCCTACTACCGTGGTCCCTATGGCTACATAGAGGGCACCCGGATTGTCAAGGACGGTTGATCTCAACAACCTCGAACACACTCGTCTTCCTTTTGTGTTGGCAAGAGGTGAAAGTGGGATGTTTTATGTCCTTGCTGTTGAGCGAGATTTTGTTAGTGCTCTGTTTGAGAGAGACATTGTTTTGTTCATTAGAGCACGGTTACATATTTTTCATTTTACTGTTTATCTTCTTATTTCACATATTTATTTTATTTTATTTATTGTTTGTTTCCTATCAGTTAAATGTTCTCAGTGAAATCGTCTTTTTCCTTTATTTCTTTAAACGCAAGGGGTCTCCGTAACTCTGTCAAAAGAAAAGATTTCTTTCTTTTTTGCAAAAGCAAAAACTCACACTGTATATTTTTGCAAGAAACGCGGGAACAAGATGGCGGGCTAAGCACATGTAAATTTCTCCGCTCTCCAGCAAATCTTGAGTTTTATGTTAGCGTTCCACTTTTAACCGTCCTAATTGTTGAGTATCAGCGAGTATTGGACTATGTCAACAAAAAAAGCTTCTAATCACCCGAAAATAGTCATTCCAGGACAAAAAGGGATGACTGGAAAAACTTCTGCTCTTGCCGAACATGAATACGTCATGGAAGTCGACCACGTCGATCACAAAGAGAAACGCAAAGAATCTCCGTCCTTGCAGAACACTCCAACTAAAGCCTCGGCTAAGAAACAGAAGGGTGACGAAAACCCTGAGATTTCCAACACCGCTCTTCTGGAAACCATAGTTGCCAGATTCGATCTACAAGACGGGAAGCTGAGCAGCATTGAGCATAAAATTACTGAGAACAGTCTAATGATCGTCAACCTGACAAAAGCTGTGGAATTCAACGCGGCGGAAATAAAGGATTGTAAAACTAAAATAAACTTGTTCGAAAAACAACTCCCCTCTGTTGTCACATCGCACGCAGATTTGATAAGCCGCACGTCGGAGCTCGAACGCTACAAAAGACGATGGAACCTCAGAGTAATCGGAATGAAAGAAACCGCAGGCGAAGATATCCGAAGAGAAGTCGTCTCACTGTTAGCCGAAATTGCTCCTCACCTGCAGCACAAACTTGAAGACATCGTGGATACAGTCCACCGCATTGGCCCCAAAACGAAGGATAAATCCAGGCAGGTGATTATTCAGTTCTGCATGCGGAAACACAGAGACGAGTTCTGGCGCTCCACCAAAGTCTCGGATGTCTGTAAACTCAGGGGAATAAAGTTCGCCGAAGATTTATCTAAGGAAGATCGAGAAGCCCGCACTGCACTATGGCCGAGGATCAGTGAGGCTAGAGCTGCAGGGAAGAAAGCCTACTACCGTGGTCCCTATGGCTACATAGAGGGCACCCGGATTGTCAAGGATGGTTGATCTCAACAACCTCGAACGCACTCGTCTTCCTTTTGTGTTGGCAAGAGGTGTAAGTGGGATGTTTTGTTATGTCCTTGCTGTTGAGCGGGATTTTGTTACAGTGCTCTGTTTGAGAGAGACATTGTTTTGTGTTCATTAGAGCACGGTTTCATATTTTTCATTTGACTGTTTATCTTCTTATTTCACATATTTATTTTAATTTATTTATTGTTTGTTTCCTATCAGTTAAATGTTCTCAGTGAAATCGTCCTTTTCCTTTATTTCTTTAAACGCAAGGGGTCTCCGTAACTCTATCAAAAGAAAAGCTTTCTTTCTTTTTTGCAAAAGCAAAAACTCACACTGTATATTTTTGCAAGAAACGCATTCCAACCTTGATGACGTGAAGTTCTGGACGAGTCAATGGGGGGGACAAAATCATCTTCAGCCATGATTCTACACATTCTGCAGGAGTGGCAATACTGTTCAACAACCTACCAGGCAAAATTATAAAGGTAGAGACGGATTCAAATGGCCATTGGGCTTCAGTTGTTATAAACATTAATGATGTTTTGTTTATTTTATTCACTGTGTATGGTTACACAACAGTGTTCCCCCTAAACAACAAATTATTCACTGAAATTTCTGATTCTCTATTTGAATTTAAACTTGTGTATCCAACTGATAATATTATTATAGGAGGAGATTTCAACATGGTTATGGATGAATCGTTAGAAATTATTCACTGAAATTTCTGATTCTCTATTTGAATTGAAACTTGTGTATCCAACTGATAATATTATTATAGGAGGAGATTTCAACATGGTTATGGATGAAGCGTTAGATCGCTTTCCGCCCAAATTTAATACCTCTCACCCTAATCTTAACCTTCTTAATTTTTGCTTGAATAATAATGTAGTGGACACTTGGAGAGCTACTAATCCAAATCTTAAACAATTTTCCTGGTTCAAAGCTAATGGGACTTCCAAATCGAGAATTGATTATTGGTTGACCTCAACTAACCTAACCGACTTTATCAAAGATATTTCAATATCCGCAGCACCTTTAACTGATCACTGTTGCATCTCTATATCATTCTACCCGAGCAAAAGAGAATCACATAACAAGGGTTATTGGAAATTCAATGCTGATTTATTAAAACACAAAAACTTTTGCTCGCAAATTAAATCCATAATTAATGATGTAGCATCACATAAGGACCTTATCTCTGTCACGAATCCTGTCCATGGACTTCCGTTCAATCACCACCAGAGATCACCCTTCCATTACATTGACTCTCGCACTACACAAACTGTTGCATGTCATTCCGGACTACATATCCCATCATCCATTGCACTGATTACACCCAGCACTGATTGCACACAGCTGTAACCAATCACACATTCACTCTATAACACTCACTCAAACGACCATTCAGGGCCGAGTATTGTAAGCGCATATCACTCACCTAGCGACAGCTACTTTACGGAGCCAGTTCCCTGTCCTTGTTTAAGTATTTAGTTCTAGTTTCCATAGTCTAGTCATAGTCTTGTCTTGCCTGCTTTCCCGTGTTACCTGATTATTGCCTGTTTATCTTGAGTTAACCCTTTGCCTGCTGTTTCGGACTGTGTTTGCACCTCGCCTGGACTCTAGCTCGTGTTATTGAATACCCCTCATGTCAAGCCCTCTGGATATTGTTAGCCGCTTATCGACCACGCCCGTTTTGGATTACTCTTCTGTCTTGCCCTCAATATACCTGTTTGCCAATGTTTGATTTATGCCTGTTTCTGACCACGTC